AGTGGAGAAGTTCGAAAATAATTATACTTTTTCAATTTTACATTTTCATCGAAAATCGAGTTCATATCAGTTAATAATTCACAAGATAACATCATGTAATTATAACCAAAGTGAAATATTCACATAAGGTCGTAAAATATCATCTCAAAATCATGATATAAACATCAGCTGATAACTATGCTATAATCTCATCACATCAAACGTGCTGAAAAATCTACCAAAAATGTATCCTCTAACTAAAATATATAATTCACCCCTCGGGCTAAGAACTTTCCCCACGGGCCTTTGGCCCCCTCCGTGAATGAAAGCTGGTCTCAAAGACCTCTTATAATCAATTCTAGAATACGGTCAAGGCCCCTCAGTGAATTATATGTACACGGTCGAGACCCCTTCATCCCCAGTCCAAGACTCCTCAGTGTAGTATAGAATACGGCCAAGGCTCCTCAGTGAACTAGAAGAAATATATAATCACTGTTACTTTTCTGGTCAATCTCAAAATCATATCTCATATTTCAATTCACAATGTGTCGTATACAATCTTTGAAATCTCACATGTATCATAATAATAAATATTTCAATAATAACTATATAATTCGAACATATAATTGCACATACTTTAACAATATATTTAATTTATAAATACTTTAAAAATATTTATATTTTTCCACTCACAGAACTATGTTCGCCAAAATCAACTCGGTTGGCAAGATATCTCAATATCCGTGTCTCTGCCTGAAATATGATATAATTTTTAAATATACCCACATGATTAATACTGATACACTAAAGGTAGAAAGATTTCTCGAGGGGCTAAGACCAGAACTATATAGAGACGTAAGCATGACTGGAATCTAAGATGTGTCATATTCTCAAATTACAGAGAGGGCATTAGTTGCAAAACAAGCCAAACAAAGAATTAGTCATGCTCAAGATGCTCGACTATAGTTTAGGCAAGGTCAAGGACAGCATTGGCCTAGAAATGATAAGAAAATAACTTTCCAAGGATAGAGTCAGAAGCCTAAGTTTCAAACGAGACAAGGACAACAACATTGGGATCAGGGCAAACATCCAAGGATAGATCAAGGAAAAACCTCAACAGCATAACCATCTTGCCCCATATGTGGTGGACAGTATACTAGAGCATGTCCTACAGAGACTAGGACATGTTATGTTTGTGGAAAAGAGAGACATCTTGCTAGAGCATGTCTAGGTAACCCAAATCCTACGGAGCAGAAAAAGGTACCGGTTAGGGTGTTTACTATTATAAGATCAAATACCAAGGCAAATCCATCTGTTGTAATAGGTAAATTCTCTATTTTTGGCATCCGAGTTGATACTTCTTGGGTGATTGCAAAGGTAGATAGGGGATGAACCTTTGGTGATCACGGGAGGGTGGACCACTCGATTGTGTCCTTATGATATTATGATTATTGGCACTGCCGGGTGGGAGACTTCTTGGGTGATCATAGGGGTAGTTAGAGGATGGGCGTCTAATGGTCACGAGAGGATGGTCCCCTCGTCAGTGTCGATTTCATATTGGCCATTTGATTATTGATATTGATATTATGCAGAGCTATATCCGGTGCATAGTAGGTGGGTAAAGGGCCCAATGAAATGATTTCGAATCGACTTTGATGCATATTGAAATATGAAACTTCTTTATCATGATGTTTAAAGTAAATGGCATAGTGGCATACATCATTATTATTCATTTCATGAGATGCATGATTTTTGCATACAAAGCATTAGCTTATATAGTTCTTGCATTGTAGGTGAGCCTAGAACTACATAGAGAGCATGGCTAGTTGTGGAGCTCTTATGGGATTTCAGAGTTTGATGTACATGGATGACGACCTATAGGATTATGTTGTGGGCTGCTATTTTAAGCTTATGGCCTATTGTGTTGTATGTTGGGGATCATGTGTTGTATATCTTTTGACATGACATATAGACTTGTTTATAATCTCAGAATATATATGTTTGATTATGGCGACATGATTTTAGTTTAGAGACATAGCTTATGTCGTTTTATCAGGTGAAAAAAAAAAAAGCAAGAAATTCTATTTCTAGGTCGAATCATCAATTTTATTTCCACATATGTTAATGGATAGTTATGTATATGAATGGGAGTGCGACACGTCCTTTATAGAAACTACTCCCAAAATGAAAGGTTAAGGGCGAAAGTGGGAGTGAATCTAAACATTGAAAACCGCACACGCAGTCAATTTAATGATATAATTAGTTGATTAACTTGGCCTTTGTAGGTTTTACCCAGGAGGAAAACGGGAAAAAGCAAGTGAAAAATGATTAGCAAACCATTTATAAACTTACATATGTAATAACTACCACATATGACATGTGTCAAAGAAAATACTTTCCCTCAACTTTTTCTTCCACACATTTTTTTCCCCGGAATGAGTAAAAGTTTCAGCCTATTTTCTCTCCAAATAAAGCGGATTACATCCAAATTTTCGTAGCATTAATTATCCCCCACAGCTTCATAATAATAGGATCTCCAATCACGTGTCTGCCAATAGTAGAATTAAGCATTACCACCATTGCTGAAAAAGTGAAATTCTATTGTTGGCTGATATAAACCAAAAAAATAAAAAGAAAGAAAATTTGTTCATATAATTCTTGAGAAATTCTTGGGATTTTCATCTTGAAAAGGATAGGAAAAGAATATAATGGCAGCATTCACAGGAACTTTGGATAAATGCAAGGCTTGTGATAAAACTGTTTATTTTGTTGATTTGTTGTCCGCAGATGGAGCAACTTATCACAAATCCTGCTTCAAATGCAGCCATTGCAAAGGGACCCTTGTGGTATATATGCCTTCTGCAGAATTTTTCATGTTCGTGTGCATGCGTATTTTGTATATTTGTGCTCACTTTTCTGTTTCTTACTCCTTGCAAGAGTGTAATTTTTCATAAAGGATAATGTTTTTTATTATGCATTTTAAGTCATTTCAACTAGAAACTTCAAATATCATGAAAAATTAGGCCTCTGTCATATTTTTACCAATGCTAGGAAATTAGATTGGTCGGAGAATTCAGTTTTTCCTTTATCTTCACGTGACAAATATTTCGATTTTCAAGGATGTATCAATACTTCCTTTTGCATTTGGTAGATGAGCAATTACTCATCCATGGATGGCGTCCTCTACTGCAAGCCTCATTTCGAACAACTTTTCAAGGAATCCGGGAATTTTAGCAAGAATTTCCAAACCTGTAAGTAGCCCTCTTTCCTACATTGGTTATTGTCGTCTATATTAGTCGTTATGCATTTGAGTTTTTCATCTAATATGACCTTTTTGGCTTTTGACGAACGTTTAACCAGCAAAGCAAGATAAGGAGAATGCTTTGGTATGCATTATTCTTTTTTAGAAATGATTTTTGGGCACCATTTACTCTGTGAAATCAATGCAAGTAGTTATGCAGAATCTTACAATTTGTGCAGACAAGGGCACCAAGCAAGGTTTCTGCCATGTTCTCTGGAACACAAGATAAATGCTCAGCCTGTAACAAAACTGTTTACCCACTCGAGAAGGTGTGTATTCATAATTAAGATCCAGAAAAAAATAATAATAATTCTATTCTAAAGTAGCCTGATGCTAAGTTAATTTACTGAAATTTTTGTCCCGGATATTTGTGAAAATAAACAGATGACAATGGAGGGAGAATCATACCACAAGTCCTGCTTCAAGTGTGCACATGGTGGCTGCCCTCTTACACACTCATCATATGCTGCTCTTGATGGAATTCTGTACTGCAAGCACCATTTTCAGCAGCTGTTCATGGAGAAGGGAAATTACCAGCATGTAATCAATTCTGCTGCGCATAAAAGGAGCTCTACATCCGAGGTGTTGGACCTCGAGGCCGAGAAGGAGAAGCCGGAGGAAGAGGCAGGACATGAACCTGAAGAACCTGAACCAGAACATGAGAAGACACAAGAACGATCTTAATTATTACCATACAATTTGTAAATTAAAATTCAAGTTTCTTGCTATGTGTCTGAGTTTCCTTTTTTCCTTTCTTCTTTTTGAGAAGTTTTTAATTCATTACAAGGTAAAAACTGATTTCTTTTAATGTAATT